AAGGAAACCTCTTGTTAGGTCCACAGAATAAAGAAGGAAATCTGAGAAACTTCATTGCTGAAACGTGAGATGTTTCACAAGCTTCTTTGTGTATAAAAACACAACTTTGGATCCAGTTCACTCTGTGACCTCTCTGGTCAATGTGCTAGATCAAAACATTATGAGACTTAAGGTGCATATACTGTAACAGAGAACTGGGATACAACTGACACAATTCCCCAGCACCCACGGTGAAGTTCAGAGCTGAAACATTTGATTATGATTAGTCAGTCCACAAAAAATGAACAGACAACTATCTTGATAATCAAACAAAGGACTAGTGTGTAGGATTTAGTGGCAGTAGCTGTGTAGTTGCTGATTGTAAAGCCCTCGCCTCACCCACCTGATACAAGTGTGTAGGAGAAACTACGGTGGCTGCAGAAAAATGAAAATCTAGAACCATTGTTTGGTTTGTACGTTCTGGGCTACTGTAGAAACATGGTGGTCCAACATGGTGGACTCCATAGAGGAGGACCCGTTCCCACCACTCCTGAATATAGAGGAAACACTGGACCAAACAGTGACTCTATGTTTGATGACAGCTTTTAAAGAAGAAGCATAACAATTAGACGTAATTCATGCTTATTTGCAGATTGTAACCATTTGAATACTCGGGCTACTGTAGAAACGGTTCCAGGTGGCAGCCTCCGAGGGAGAGGACCTACTCTCTAGCTGTAGATACAAAAGGCTCATTCTAAGGTCACGAAAACTCAACAATTCTTATTTTCAGGTGATTATACACTAATGAAAACATCCCTATAGATATTATATTCTATTTCTGATAATAGATCCTCCTAAATGTTACACGCTGGAACTTTAATTGTGAGTAAAATGGGGAAAAAAGAAATGATTCCAACTTCTCAAATGTGAATAATTGTCTTCTATGATATTAAACTGAATGTCTCCTGGTTTTGGACTGTTAATTGGACAAAACAAGACATTTTAAGATGTCATCATGCTCTGTGAATTTTAATGTGCATATTTAGCTTTTTGCTGACATTCTGCAGATCATGCCATTAATTGATTCTTTGAGAAAATAACTTTAGGTGAATAAATAATGAAAATAACTGATAGTTGTGACCCTAGTGATGTCTTCAGGTACATTTTCATGTTGTATCAGCACTCCAAAATTTAAAAATATGTAATTTACAATGATACAACATTGAGAAATCTGGCAAATCCTCACATGTTAAAAGATGGAACCAGATAATGTTTGGTACTTTTGTTAAATACATGATCAAAATAGCTTTCTGTTAATTTTTTGTTGATAAACAAATCAACTGATTAGTCATTTCAGCACTACATATAATGCTTTGTGTTTCAGTCAATCCAATTTTGACCTTAATTTTGGATAAACAACCTGGTTAAATATACATTTACAAGAGTAATCCCTAATCTGGTTGTAATCAAATGATTAGCAGGCCACTCAATCACATTTACCCACTCAGCTACCTCCTCTTCCTCCTCCACCCTCGATCAACCTGAATTCCTCGTCGGCACCTCACATGTGTTGTCCGCCCCCCCTCAGCCAACTCTATTATGTAATGACACCTCAGCATATAATATGACAATACCTCAGATATATACGCAGAAAAAACAAAACACACACAGGATCACATGCACACACACAAGCAGGCTCCTACACACACTGGAAAGTAGTGACTTCCACTTGTCTGTGCAGCTAAAACAAGTGTAAAACGGCATCATGGGGGCGTGTGGTGAGAGCTGTATGAATTAATCTATTATATTACTGGAATGCCAGGCATTTAGTCTGCAGTTAAGCCTAGTCCAATATCAGCAAAGCACTAATTGTTGAGTCTTTCACAAGTGTTTCCTTTCATTTGCTCAGTTTCCCCCCCAACATCCTCGGCATACTAAATCACAAAGTGATGTCAGCTGAGTATATTAATGTGTGCATTATGGCTCTGCTATAAATATTACATAAGTGGATAATGTATGACTTTATTTAAGGTATCCTCCATGTTCCTTCTCACAGCTTTTTGATCAATCAAGTGGTGTGGTTATGATATATTTCATCATGCTGACCCAGTTTTATTTCATTGTATCTGACAGGGGCTGTAAATCATCTTGGAAGATACAATCTCTGGGGACTCCACTGTCTATACTTCCCACATGGGCTGCTAGGACCTCGGTGTATGTACAAGTGTGAGTGCATGTGCAAAATGCCAAGTTTTCCACTAGAAGTGTGAGCTTTTATCTTTCACTCTTTCCCCATTCATAACCCCCTCAGTGTTTGCAAACTCTGCCTGCTTTATACACCTTTCTTTTTCCTTGTCCTCGGTATATTTTATCTGGTGTTTCCCCTTCACTCACTGTACTTGAATAATTGAGCAGTCGTGTAAGATGGCGTCATCACGAGCAGGCTCCCGAGAACACATTCAGGCCAAAGAAACTGATGGGGATGTTATTTGCCTGTAGCTCGCCTGTGCCCCAAATATCACACACAATGTCATGAGATACACGTGCGTCCTTGAAAATGTAGTCCTCGTATCGCTGTCCGTTTACCGTGTCCCCTGTTGGTGACATCATGGTGATGGGGACCACAGATGGCGAGGAGAGCAGCATCTTCAACCCCACACACCAAGGCCCGTCATCGCTGTGAGCTCCAGCAAAGCAGATATGACTTCAAAGTAGCTCAGATTTCCATCACAGGGCTGGCCACTGTGCAATTTTAATGAGCATCGAGGCTGTTTTGGGACTAGTCGGCACTAAAACCCCCCGAGGACTTGGGGTGAGTAAGAGCAAGTGTGTGAGTGTGCTCCTATCATGTCTTTGCATTTGTGTGAACACATGAGTGTATGTGTGTAGTTATAAAGTCACAGTGTGGCTTTACCTCACGTGAGTTTCAGTGGAGTGCAGTGAGTGAATTATGGGGGAGGGGAGTTGAGATTGAGTGAATAAGCACCCTAATTGTGTCATCCCCTTCAGCACAGGCAGTAGAACTGGACACCCTTAACTTGTTAAAACCAATAAGGGGATGCGGAACCACAATTAAAACCTACACAACAAGGGATAAGAGGGGCAGTAAGTTCATTATGTGCAATCCTATTGATGCACAGACACACGTGCTCAATTAATCCAACACATGCTTGTTGGATAGAGAAGTGAAAACTACTGAGCAGATTTATGATGCAATAGCTATGATTTTTCTCAACCTTCTGCTCACTATGTGGTGTAATAAAGACTTTCTTTAAACACAGCATGCTAAATTGGCTTTAATGTAGAGGGGGATGTAAAACTTTTTTAAAAAATCATAGAGGGCAAAGTGAAAAACACACAAACACAAAACAAATGGTTGGAGCAAATTAGAAATGTTCATTATTATTGTAAACAAGTGGGAAAAACAACGAATGTCCTCCATGCTCCCCAAAACTGAGTGAGGTGAGGTCTCCTCCCTGTGCCCTCCACACATCCTCTTCCCGTCCTTTTCCTCTTGCCCCTCATTTCCATCCTCCAGAGGAGGGGGGGGAGTAGTGGCGGGGGGAGATGGAGGGCAAGGGCTTCTCTGCTAAAAACTGCATGGATACAAGGGGGGGCCGAGAGGGAGGAAGGGAGGGAGGGCGGTCTCTGTTGTTGTAACGTAGCACAGTCAGTGTGTCAGAGACAGGCCCATCACAAAATCAGCCAGTCAGTGTGTCAGAGCGTGTAGTGGGGAGTGGCACACGCGTGTCCATGTGTGTTTATGACTCTGAGTGTGTTTGTGTGTGTACTCGCAGCTTGGGTGATTTCATCCCGTCTGAACAGGGAGAAATCAAACCACACCCTCTTAAAATTTGCCACTCTCGTGCCCATGTGCGTGCAGTATCCATGGGATGTGAAGAGAAAATGGTGAATGTTTCAGCCTTTTTGAATTCAGGAATTTCAGTCAAGTTGGATTTAATATTTGGTTCAATATATGAAATCAGAGCTGCAACTAACGATTAATTTCATTATCAAGTAATCAGCTAATCATTTTCTCAGTTAAATGATGGTTTAGTCTGTAACATGTCAAATATAATGAAAAATGTCCATCGCAATTTACCAGAGCCAAATTTATTTGTTTTGTCTGATCATCAGTCCAAAACCCAAACACATTTATAATAATGTAAATCAGAGCAACATTAGTGAAGCAGAGAATATTTGGACTTTTGGCTTATTTTATCTCTTAAAGTACACAGTTTTTTGACTCTGACTTTAAGTACATTTTGATGTAAAAATCACATTGATTTGTGTGACATAAAATTACAATTCAGTGGCACCCAGTGTGTGTTTGAGTTATCAGCAGAGATAGAAAATCAATGGCAACGCAGCCAAGTTTTATGGGCTTTAACAAACGCACAGGATGATTTTTGGTGAGTGAGATCAGTGAGGTTATCTTTTGATTTTCACCCCTTGATTTTGTTTAGAGGGACTTAGATCAGTATGCCTGGATTCAGAATTGGACTTGAGCCCCCTGTTTGACTGCTGTTACTGTACCAGGAATGCACTACAGACACAACCATGCCAGGCTCATCTCTACTGCCCATAGGAAGTATTTACTCACGGTGATCTCACGAAATAAACAACCAGCGCACACGAACAGCAGTGTTTTGCACTCCGTAGAAGCAGCTGGTTGGAGGATCAGCCAGCCCCCCCACTACTACCAGTCAGATTACCAAGGCTGTAGTCTCACACCATGCCGCCCCTCCTTCTCACTACCCTCTCCTTCCCTTCATCACCCTCACACACACACACACACACACACACACACACAAACACACACACACACACACACACACTTAAAAATGTACAGTCTGTAAATCTGCACCCCATTGAGTCGCACATCTGTTTAGTGAGAGCTGCTTTCCAAAACACGAGTCTTACTCACATTGTCACATATGATGTCAAATATTAGATAAGCAAATGTGTTCACTGAACAGAGATAATCATAATAAAAATACAATAAAAATACAGGGACATAGTTCAGATTTCAAAAATGCGTCATTTATTAAAAGATTTTTTTTCCTTTTCACCATTATTGAAAAAGTAGCCAGAAGAGAAATATCATGTCAAGGTGAGGTGAGAGGGAGAGAGACAGAGTTTAGTTTAGAAAGAAAAGATACTAACAGGATTGAGGGAGATGAAGGAGAGAGGGCAAGGGCAGACGAATGCAGCAGAGTGGGGGAGGGGAGGGGAGGTGGGGGAGAGGTGGGTTGGGGACTACAGTCAGCTTTTACAGTTTAAGAAGTGAAAGGCAGCTAAAATAAATGAGACATATTATTTCTGACCAATCAGCAGTGGTCGCTGCAGTAGAAAACATACATGAAAAAGGACATAAACAATGAAAAATAAGTGCAATTGGTTTTCTCTGTCATACCACAACTGTATAAAAACAGGAGTCGGGTGGGGGACACAACCCCCCCCTCCGCCTCTGATCAGCGTCTGGCACATCACACCGCCACGTTTAAAGACGCGATGGGGTAAGACTCCAGGTCTATGACTGAGGGTTCGAACACTCTTTACTCCAGGCTGCCAGTAGCTCTGTGTTCACACGTGGTGCTTTTTAAAAAGGAGTCCGGTACGTGGATATCCCTCCTCTCAATTAATGTAAATATACTGTATGAACCACTCATACCAATTTAAAAATATTTTAGTTTAAATATTTACAATTCTTTTGCAATATAGGTAAATCCAATGACATCGCTAAAACCCCCTCCTCCCGATCCTACATTTAGAAGAATATTGTGAGCAGATTTCCAAATAAAGAGCGAGCCTCCTATCAAATATCTAAATCAGAACTGGAATTAGAACAATAGCAGCAGTAGAGGGTGGTGCAAATAAATATTTCCTCCCATTCGTTTATATTTTCTCTGTTCTTTCAAGTTTTCAAGAGAACCAGCTATAAGTGCAGTTCAGTCTGTTCCCCTGTTGATCAGAACCAAAAGAAAAGCCCCAAAGGAAGGCTTCACTTCGAAACTACATGACAAATAGTAGCCACTGCTGTTGGTGTGTGTGTAAAGGTTGGAGATACAGACAGTTTGGATTGACTGTAGATGTCAGATTACTACGAGCTGGACGCCGGTTTTTAAGCAGGAGATGGACAGTCCATGATACTGTTGGTTTTGATGCTGTGTGTAACTTCTGAAGCGAGAGAAAAACGACTACATGTAGGCTTTTCATGATTGAATGTGTACTGGTTTTGTGAAATAAAAGCAAACAATCAAAACGCAGTATGAATGCACTGAAAGCACCAAATGCTTTTCTGAACACATCCTATTTGGTAAAAGGCACAGAAGTCCAATAGTCCAATCATAAGATTTCACTTCCATCGTTGTTGTTTTTTTAAGCAATAAAAACCACAAACAAACTGTCAACAGCATCTTCCCAATCGCCTCAAACAAATTGTAGGCCAAACTGTGCAAGTACACAGCAGGCAATATTCAGCTGCCCAATAAATAAATACAAACAATAAATAAATGCAGTGTCCGATCTACACATGAATAAATTAACTGTGGGACTCGAGAGTCATATGTCTTTTGAGTGGTCCTTGTTTTCTTCCTCCAGCTGGTCTTTCCTGGATTTTCAAGACCCATCAGTTTGCAAATTGAGGACCGGGCAGAAACATCTGATTCACGGAGGGCACGGCAGGAGAGGTTATGTGACCTCTGGCCGCTGTGATGTCACTCCTCTCGATGCCCTGCCACAGATCTGCCAGCCAAGCGCTCGGACAGTTCTTGGATTACATTTGCGAGTTGTTGACATCATTTTTTCCCCCCACAGTCTCCAATGATGCACCAGTATACATGTACAGTATAATGCTGCGTTCTTTACACTGTATTTGTCACATCACTAGCTACATGATTTTCAATGATGTCAATGTCACGTTTCCTCTTCAAGACGGATGCCTTGATTCTATCTACAAGTGAATGTAAGGTCAAACGTGTCTCCAACTATGAGACTAGAATAAAATTCAGCTCACCCTGCGTTCCTCACTCTGGATTTAATCCTAACTAGCATTACCTCATCACAATAAACCTTGGAAGCTTTCACTCTCAATATTGAAATCAGCCTTTCAGATGGAGTGTGTCCTTCAAGTTAGATGTCTGCCGAAACATTCATCTCTGAATATATTGATTGCTTTCATGCTGAAGAGAAACAATTACTTTCTCCTCGAAAAATCCTCAAAAATCTCTCCAATTGATCATTACTCAATCAGTTGTATCAGCCTTTGAGCTTCAGATGATTTCCTATGCCCCTCAACTCCACCCTTTGTACAGGTGTTTAGATTATTATGTAATTGTGATTATCAACTCTTGATAGATTTGATTCATTTACACATGTCCCGTTGTTTGAAATAACTGTTGTAAGTGTCTTGATGAGGGGTTGCGTGTGATCCATCATTTGTCTTCAACATATATCCCCCACAATTCTTTCCTCCACCTCTCGTTAATGCATCTATAATCACAGGCCTTTAGCCTCTTCGCCTCTTCGCTTCTTCTTCTTCTTCTTCTTCTTCTTCTTCTTCTTCTTCTTAACAACAGCTCTTGGCCTGGTGGTGTAACGAAGCAGAGCTGCCGGCTCTTTGTTTGTTCAATGCATCAGGTCTCTAAGGGGGTGGGGCACAGCCTGGGCAAAGGCTTGACTGTGACATGAGGAGATTGATTTTGATCCTGATTGATCTCGATGGTCTCACTCTGTTGTCCAGTGACAGGCTGGCTTTGGCACCGGATTGGCTTCTTCAGATTTTTGGGGTGCTTGTAGGGTGTGGTAGAAGAGATAGAGCTGTCTTGTGTAGCTGGACTGCCCCGCCTGCTGGGTGGAAGGACGGCAGTGACAGGCCGGTTGTCATTGTGACCTCCCACTGTTGTGCCCTCATGTGAAGGGCAGGCCTTTCGTGGGGACAGGATGGGGGCGATGTGAACCCACGTCAGGCTTGGCTCAGAGCTTTGACCTGCTTTGTAGTTCGATGGCTTGCCTAATTCTTCGCTGTCACTGTCCTTTCCCTTTGTGTCCTCATTTAGCTGGCTGTTAGCAGCCACACCTGGCGAATTTTGGTCGGCGTCAGATGCCGACGATGAGGGAGGAGGGCTGTCCCTTTTAGCGTGATCTTGCTTCACCCTCTTCTCTTCTGCACTGATACGAGGGCACTTCAGAAGCACAGGGGAGGGCGTTGGGGAGTCCGTACTTGTCCAGCTGAGTCTGCGCTTCTGGAAAATGAGCAGGAGAGTAATTTACAATATATAAGTTAGTTTATGGTGGTGTTGAAGGGAAAGGAGGGTTGTTTGTGTTTATGTGAATGCCTGTGTTTTCACCTTGACGGGAATATGTAACTGATCCCTGTGCTTGTGCGGCGGGGTGGAGCTGGAAGTTTCTTGGAGGGATCGAGCGGGCGATGCGACAACGCTGGAAGCTGCAGAGACAGGCTGAGTGGTGATCTGAGGAAACCAAAGCTTCAGCATCATCTCCACCTGGAGGAGAGTGTTCAGGTACTTCTCCCTACAAAAGATGGATAATAATTTTAATTGAGGAACAGATGGCAATGCACATGTATTACTGAAAGCATCTGGATGTGATCCTGCAAATGGAGCTAGATAAGTAAGTTTTGTGTTTCTCTGCACTGCCAGTGACTGCTGTAACTCTACCTACCTCAAGGACTGTTCAATAAAACATGGAAGGGGAGATGAGAAATGGAAGACTACCTCACTGGTCCCTACTCCAATTTAATAATCATTTACATGGTAAAATCGAACTAATATGTCTAGGGATGCAGAGGCAAGATGAGAATGAATAACAGATAGTTACAGAGAGTTAGAAACACTCAGGGTGGATGGTGGGACAATGTGGATAACATCTTACCCGCTGTTAGGTCTCTGTAAAACCCCTACGATCCTCTGGATTCGATCCATGGCAACGCTCTGCTGGAAACTACTCAAACCTGCCAGTCAAAAACATAATAACCCAGTCAGCATTCACACTTTTGAGACTACACAGTCGCAGGAAAAAAGCGTGCACATGTAGACATCCACAATATCTCTGTAGCACACACACACACTCACACCACTTTCACTTTGTGATATTGTGAGCTGATGAGTCAGCCACAAGACTGTCGCTTCACACACGCTGCACTTTGTACTTCATCAATAGGCTGCGTCAATACAGACTGCTGCACAAAGGGAACACTGTATCACAGTGAACTGAGACCACTCAGATCATGTGAACCTGTGTTCAGCTTCACAACTTTAGATGCCAGTCGAAAGCAGTGATGTAAGGTTGCTTACCGCGGTCGAATCGGCCCCTCTTCAGTCCATTCAGCAGCTCCAGCAGGGGCCTGACAAAACCCTGCAGCTCAGCACACTGACAGAGGAAGAGGGAGAGAAGATAAATTACTACTGAGTTTGAGTTAGGCCTCACTATCTGAATCAGTCTGCTGGGCTTTCCTCTGCACACACATTGCTTTGTCATCCCTCTCTTTTTCTGGGCCCTCCGCCCAGTCCCTCACCTTTTGAGCAAACAGCAGGTCTCCCTGTGATTTCGGGATCTGGCTCGTAGGATCTGTCTCGCCCAAGTTGATGTGAGCGGCCTTGCCGCTGCTCTCCGACCTGTATGCCTCCTCCTCTTCCTCTTTATCGGTGAAACCATCGCAAGTCCACTGGGACCCAGGACTCTCCGATCCTCTGTCTCCATTGGCCACAGCCCCGCCCACGCCACCGATGATGACAGAGGAAGAGCCGTCTGTCAGGAAGACATCCGTGTCGTCCTCCGCCTGCTCCGAGTCGCTGAACAAGAGGCTGTCGCTGGAGCTCAGGGAATCGAAGGAGGGCTGAGAGGAAGTGCTGCCCTGGGACTGCATTGCTGTGGGGGCAGCAGCAGAGGGTTGTGGTTATTATGACAGCTTAGAAGAAACAAAAAAATAGGCTTGGCCCAAACGCCCAAAACCAGCATGTTTTAAGTTGTGACTAGAGACAGACAAGAAGTAAAAGGCAGTGAAACAAAATCATAGGAAAGAACTGCTTTCCAATTGGCAACACTCCATTTTTTTCCCTATCTCTCTCTCCCAAAAATAATAGCCCCAATTACTCAAAATGGTGGGTATACCAGTGCCCTAGTTTAACATGGTGCAGAGTGGGACTGGGGGTAGGCAGTAGGCACACAATGGTAGTGCATGTCTGGCTCCCATTGAGGAGATTGGAGACTGGAGAGGAGAGTAAAATGTGAGGGGGATGGGAGCTTGTAGAGTAGTGAAATCAGAATAGGCAGTCTCTCTCTCTCTCTTGCTCTCTCTCTCCCCTACTGCCTCCGGTGCTCTCTCTAGCCCCTCCTCTCTGTCTCGGGCTTGCTCTCCATCCCCCCTTGGATTCATACACACACACACAAACCTCTCTCTTTCCTCTACGGCTGCATTTCTGTATGCCTCTCATCTCTCCCTGCTCTCCCTTCAGCTCATCCTGTTCGTTATGCACACAAGCCTGGTTGCTCCTCTTCCTTTCCTCTTCCAGACCAACCCACCTCCTCCTCCTCTTCCTCCTCTCTTACTCACATTTTACATTCTGTATCTCTGGCCATGTGCCTCGGTCTTTCCATTTCTCTCTCTCTCTCTCTCTCTCTCTCTGTGTAATCTTTGAGTGCCTGCTGGTCTCTGATCCCACCAACACATAGGGGGGGAATTAAAGGGGGGTCACAGGAATATACTCAACTAATACACACACCAACACCAGTTTTACCAGTCTCAGAAATAAAGTCTAAACTCGCTCACAGACAAAGGAGAGTGATACAGATTTTTGCAGTGTGCCCACACAGACGTAAAAAGAGCAAGAACCACCCATTGAGTCCACACAATGCCTCAATTTCAGGAATACAAAAACATTTCAACAAGCCCTGTTCAGCTTCTACAGCATACAAAATGCTCTGCCATTCACATTTTATTTCTGTCTGATGCCTGGCTTCCCCTCAGGCTACTTGTTTCCTCTTTAAACTAAATGTCACGTTGTTTACAGCATCTGCATGAGTCAACTGATACAGATAGTGGAAGAACACAACAATTACATTTGGTTCTTGTATTTATTTTTTCACCCCCCCCCAACGCCCTTTCATGATATAGTTCATAGATGACGGTAGGTGGGATGGGGATGGAGGTAGGGTGGGTGGGATGGGGATGGAGGTGATGGTGCATGTGTCGGTACAGTCTGCACAGGTAGGCATGGACCATGAATGCTGCGTCTCAGGTGTTGGCTGCCTTGTCTGTGTCTGCGCACCACGATGCCCCGCACAAACAGGAATTAACAACCCCGCATATTTCTATAGGAAAACGTCCCGCATGTTTTGTAACAAATTACATTTAGAATACCAGAAATGACAACAATATCAAAAATATTAAAAAGGTGGAGAAACGTTGATTTATCAATAATATAAAAGAAATCGCACAGCAATCACGTGTTAATGGTTTATTAACAGACACAGATGGAGCAAATGTGAAATAAACAAGCTTTTGGCTGAATTAACAGATTGTCATACAGGATATAGCGGGACAGGAAATTCCTTTAGGCTAGCCTGCCAACTTAGGGAAACGTTAGCCATAAAACAAAAACAACAGGAAAAAAAACCCAGTTGGAGAGACTCACCTTCAGTAATGTGAGATTTAAATAGCAGCTGCCGGAAACAGTCGCTAACGGCTTTATCTCCTACTTTTGATACGACAGATCCGTCAGGACACACTCCGGAGCTGGAGCAGCATCGGGGCGCCCAGCCTCAACTCTCTCTCTCTCTCTCTCTCTCTCTCTCTCTATCTCTCTCAGTCACACACACACACTCACACATACACACCGCCCGACCGGCCGTTCATCGGTTTGTGTCTCCGCTGGCTCTTTCTCTCGGCAGTTTACGAGCATCAGCATGTGCGCGAATCCACGTGCCCACGTTTTACGCGCATCCCATTGGCCGACGTCCCGGCAGGGCCGCACGCCATTGGCCGACCCCTCCAGCCAGTGATTGCTTTACTCGCAGTTGATTGGACGGCGGCCCGGGCACTCACGGTCCTGCCCACTCATGTGTCACTCGTGTGCGTGGTGTGGAGCCTGTGGAGGGTTTGGTGGTGGTGGGTTGGGGGAGGACTGCTCTACTACAGCTACAGCGGGTGTAAACACACGCACGCACCACGGCGCCAGCCCGAGAGATGCACAATATGTTCTATGCATTTGATGTACACAGTATGATCCCCCCCTACCACCACAAACCTGCATCCTCACACTCACCCCCCCCAAAAAAAAAACAACAACAGCATGCGCACCCCGGATAATAATAAGAAACCTTATGCAACCCAGGAATACTGATTTGGGTTTAATTGAATAAATGCATGCAGAGCCAACTCACACCAGCAACGCATAGATGACTCTTTGGCAGACCTATAATCAGAGGAGAGGAAGCCTATAATTTAAAATGAGAAATAAATAAGGACGTTTGCTGGGGATATAAAATACATTCTGACAAAATAAACATATTAGTTGTGAAACAGAGTTAATAATCACCTTCATGTCCACTGAACATCAAATTTAAAGGCTGACATTTGATAACTGGGTCCAGCCACACCGTGTCATCCTCCCTATATGACAATATAGTAGCACTCTTATGTTGTATATTGTGTGTAGAGTCAGTCTCCAGGCAACATTAATAACCCTCTTTTTGATTGCTATGCTGAAGTAATATACACCTCTGTGCCTCCCTCCTCCTTACTTCAGCCTTTCTTACAAAGTTCTTCAAGAGTAAAGTCATCAATAGGCCTATGCTGTACAATAGGATCCTATAGGGCCAAATAACCTATGTGATGTGACATTTGCTGGAATATAATATTTTTAATGGCAGGGGTTGCGCAACATTACCAGGAATAGGTCAACCTATTATTAAAACATAATTGTTTAACCCTTTAATCTAAGATATCTTGGCTACTATAACTGTCACTAAATGTGTTATTGTCACATTGTTTTAGTTCTGTATATTTATTGCAGTTTTATGCAGAATGTACCATACTCTCTTCAATTGTCTTGTAAGTCAATCTGACAAACAGGCTCTGCAACTCAAATGTTTAGTGTCACAAACATCCGTTAACGTAGCATTCCCTTAGAAAAAGTGTTGCAATCGTTGAGGTCGCAGAACAGGAAAACACGTCGAGTGATAAAATGACAGAGAGAGGAAATAAAAAGGTGATATTTTACCTTATTTTAGTAAAAACATATATACATCCCCCTCCCCCCCAATTGAGTCATTGAGACTCAATTGTTAAAATAAGATCACTCATACATCAAAATGTAAGTTATAGTGATCGGACCATCATGCTGTAAGTCAGTCCATGGTTTATGGCCATGTAGCAGCCTCCCCCTCTCTAGGTTACTACAAAGTGAACTCAGTGACCTGCTGTTGAAACATCCAGTGCAGTATACCATCAATGTATATGTATAGACCACACACACACACACACACACACACACACACACACACACATTATCTGCACCATACTCATCCGATGTATTGGTATTTTCTCTCCTCACAACACTTAGATCAGAGGTCAGCTAATATTCTAGCTTTTAACGGTATTTTTAGATGTGAAATGCCCGGTTAAAGCACAAGAAGTTGTGGATGCCTATAAGCGCCTTGCATGTCAGGGATGAAGGGATCTTCCCTTCCCCCACTATACATACAACATACTCATGAACCCATCGACCCCTCTGCTCAACACACAGACACACACAGGCTATGTCCTTGTTTGACTGACAATACCTGTCTTTGAGCTTTAAAGCTATATACGGTCACTTAGTAACCTTGACGCCAGGTGAGCAAACCCATTTTATGGTCAAAACACAATAATAGTTAACCTTTGTTAATAGCAAACCTGGGGAAAGGGTCCTGTTTGTTTATACTTAGCAGGCACCAGGTCGATAGAAAAAGCTTTCCACCCCCCATAGCATTCCTCAGCAACACATGAACCCGTTGAACCTCCTCTGAGTTCATGGGTTCTGAAGACCACCCCCATCATTTCCATCTCCCTTCCCCCTGTTGGTCCCATCCCCCACCTGCTTTCTGTGTTATTTTTCTCTCTCTCAATCCTCTTCTCATTATCGTCCCTTGTATTGACATGCTTGAGAATTCAATAGGAGTGACCATTTTAAGCCTGGTGCTTTTGGCGATGAAGTGGGTCAAAGTGCAACACATCAATTGGTCCCTAATATGGAAAATACAGCCTTCTTCAGTTGGCTTTCTCAAGGTGGAAATGGAGTCAAGTGCATCTGGAATAAAATCAGTTATGCTGCATCTGAAGTTTTAATACAGTGTAATTGATTTGTAAATTCACTGCTGAGGCCTGTGTCCTCATGTGACATGTAGGCCAAGCAGCAGAGGATCCTGTAGTTTATTTAAGGATAAGACTAAGAAAGCTTCGTTATATATTTAATATATATATATATATATATATATAATTCAAATTGATTATCATATTGATAAGGTTCCTGAATGTTTTGTGTTGAAGTCTTGCTCATCGTGAAAGCATGCAGGCATTCCAGTAGTGAAAGGAGTTGTAAGGCCAAATGCACAAGTAGGTGTGGCGAGAGCTTTAGACACCATAACAGAAATCTGACCCGCCTGAAGGAAGACCGAGGCCTAAAGAGACTAAACAGTAAACTGTCTTCACTCTGGTTGGAAAGGGTGAGCAACATATCATGTTTCACCTGGAAACCAGGGCAGCTGTGAAACAATAACACTCTCTGTCCTGCACCTGTCTGTCAGTCTGTCAAAAAGTGAAATATATATTCCCTTTATTCTATTTATGCAAGTGGTTGCATATGCCTCAGTGCCTTCACAGTGCACTTCACATTTCAACACAACATAGTGTTCATTCAGTTCAGCAATATTATCCACCATTAACTCTGTTTCAGTCACACACTGGTCCTTTTGAGATAGTCACACTAAGAGACTCTGCACTGAATACTGAACACTACTTATCAAATGTCGACAATGAAATGGCCAGTGGTTTCATGAAACAAGGCTACAATAGGCCTGTATGTTATCATAAAGTTTGACCATAAATCACAACAAGCCTTGACGTCTATTCAAAGCCCGAGAAACTCCTTCCTGTACCGGGGCTGCAGCGCTCACATTCGCTGAGCCGGGACATGTGTTCATCAGTATAAACAGAGGGACGTTCACATGTCGGAGAGACGCTCTGCTTGTAGATTTGTGAATGAAGTCAGCTGGCACGCCCCCTGCGAAGACGCGGCCAATGGTACGTAAAGATATTCTAACCACGCCCCCTCGATGGAACGCTGAGCGACCAATAGGAGGCCGGCAGAGGTTACTGCTGTTGCATAATTTGGCTGAAGCGTTCACGTTTGAGCGGTCCGGTACACAGTGTGAAAAGATGGAGAGGCAGACAGAAGAGGCGGAGAGCAAACAGCGGATTTAGTCTCAGATATACAGACCTGTTATTAGTTAGACTGATACCTTCTCTACCGAGGCTGACTTATGGTCTATGGTTAAAACAAATAGAGGCCATAGAGGGAATAAATACGTTTAAATTCATTCTGGAGTTTCAGGAAAATGATGGTTTGTCAATAACCAATAGTAATCACAGGCTAATTAATACTAATTAAGACAATATAATGTAAGACAATGAAATAGGTCATACATTCTATCTATCTATCTATCTATCTATCTATCTATCTATCTAGCTATCTATCTATCTCCCTCCTTATATATATCTATAACTATATATATCTATATAATGTTATCTATCTATCTATAGAACTATCTCTCTCTCTCTCTCTCTCTCTCTCTCTCTCTCTATATATATATATATATATATATATAACTATATCTATATAATGTTATCTATCTATCTATCTATCTATCTATCTATCTATCTATCTAATAGTCCAGACAATGGCTCTCCTCCAGCTGTCACACTCAATGCAGTAAGTGATGTAACCTTTGTATTTTTAATGTTTTAAGTTTATCCTTGACTCCAGAATGTGATGTAATCTAGATCAAAAGACTCATTGATTCTTTAAAGGGGAAATCCACCCTAAAGACACCAGTGATTAAGTCGGTGCATCAGAACTTTAATTGGTGATGTAATGGGGCAGCAGTTTGCAGTTTGATCCACTGACAATGAAAATAGTGATGGACTGGAGGGCTCAAAGATGTGTTTTCTACAGTAGCTGTGAATGACCATTTTCCAATCAAAGTGACCACGGGCCTGTCACTGCCTGTGTCTGTGGAGCGCAACCAGGACTGTAACCAACCTTTACAATGTTATAGGAAGGAATGACACGATGTAAATTATGTTTTAGGGTGGATTTTCCTATAAATATGTCACGTGGAGAGGGCGCCCCCTAGTGTTCAAAACTGAACAAGTCATCCAATAACGTTTGGTGTACAGTGTGAACAGTTTATGTAACATTTCTAATAGAGACATACTGAAACATAAAAGCATTTTCACACAAAATGATGCAAGTTTGTGCAATCCCAACAGAGACCTGTTAGATGTTGAACATTTTAATTAGAAAGACCTAATTTCAAAGAATCAGGCAATTATATCAGGTTATATGCAGATAACTGAAGGTGAAGGTAACAATGGGCCTTTTTCACAGCAGATATTGTTGGATTTGTTGAAGTAGTAAAGGCACAGGTGTTAATCTCAATAAGAATATAATGATATTGTAATAATTTAATATAATAATATTAACGATGGCTCTATTATACACTATATATATTACCACATACAGTATAGAAACTTATGTAGCCTAGCATTACTCTCTATATACAGAACATATATGGATGGGGGCCATCATATATTGTGTGATATGATATAATATGATACAATAAATAAAATAATGATTACA